CTCTGGTGCTCCAGCTGGGACCGAGCAGTGCTGCTTTGGGGCTTTTTAGTGGTGTCTGAAGTGCTGTGACCAGTCCTGGAGGGAATGTGATCCCAAAGAGCACATCCTTCCCAGGGGCTTCTGCTCTTCCAGGTCAGGGGAATATGTGACTGGAAGTGGTTTCTTCTGGAGTTTCAGCCCCTTCTCAGCTGCCACTTTGGTTTTGATGTGGTTCCTAATCAGGGCCTTGATGAGCTGCCTCCTGAGGGAATTAAGCAGAAAGTCTGGGTGATGCCAATCAGGGCCTCAGGACCTTGGAGTCTGAGGAGAAGGGAAGGCTCCAGGGAGAGCTGAGAGCCCCTGGCAGGGCCTAAAGGGGCTCCAGGAGAGCTGGAGAGGGACTGGGGACAAGGCCTGGAGGGACAGGACACAGGGAATGGTTTCCCAGTGCCAGAGGGCAGGGATGGATGTGATATTGGGAAGGAATTGCTGGCTGGGAGGGTGGGGAGGCCCTGGCCCAGGTTGGGGAGGCCCTGGCCCAGGTTGCCCAGAGCATCTGTGGCTGCCTCTGGATCCCTGGAAGTGTCCAAGGCCAGGTTGGACGGGGCTTGGAGCAACCTGGGCTAGTGGGAGGTGTCCCTGCCCATGGCAGGGGGTGACACTAAATGGGCTTTAAGGTCCCTTCCCACCCAACCCATTTTGGGATTCAGACATAAAAGGCCCATCAGGAAAATAAAAACCTGTTTGGGTTGATCCACTTGATTTCTCCCAGGAGAAAATGTTTCAGAGGTGCCACACAACTTCCTGGTGGAAACACCTGTGGAGGACAGGAATGGCTGGGGAGAGAAGGTTCCTCACTGGGGACTTCTAAATGAATGTCCCTCAAGAAAAACTGAAGCTGAGCTGAAGCTGATGCTGGTGGAGAGATCCTGGAACCCCAGAGCCCCTGAGGCTGGAAAAGCCCTCCCAGCCCATGGATCCCCCCTGGGCCCCATTCCCACCTTGTCCCCCAGCCCAGAGCACTGAGTGCCACGGCCAGGCCTTCCTGGGACACCTCCAGGGCTGGGCACTCCAAACCTCCCTGGGCAGCCCCTGCCAAGGCCTCCCCACCCTTTCCACAAGGAAAGGTGAGCAGGGACACCTTCCGCCGTCCAACCTGGCCTTGAGCACTTCCCGGTGTCCTCCTCGGGACTCTCTGCTCTTGCCCCCCATCCTTTGGGCCGTGTGGGGTCGGGGCCGGGCGGGGGGATCGTTACCTAACCCGGGACCACGTCACGGGGCTGTGGGGGCGGCCCTGGGGGAGTGGGAGCTCCTCGCCCCGGCCGGCTCGGGGTGCAGCTGTGGCAGTCACTGGAGCCAGGGGTGCCATTCATCTGGCAGAGGTGGGGGCGGCTCTGGGAGCAGGGGATGAATCACAGCTCCATTGACTTCACTCCCAGCTCTCCATTGAGTCTAAAAGGAGCCCGGAGCCGTCGCTGGGGGTGCTCGTGTTCTCCTCGCCCACGGTTAACTCGCTGCCTCCCGGGGCCCCTCCGGCGGGGAGGGGATGGATCCAGGGCCTGGACACCATTCCTGGGGGTGTATCCCCAGTCAGGCCCTCATCCTGGCTCACCAAAGGGTGACACAGCTCTGAGACGGTGTTGGAGGCCTCTCCTGTCTCCAGCTTGCCCAGGCTCCTTCTGCATCTCCCGTTTTCGTTTCCGTAGTTTTCCCTGCAGCACTTTGTGCTTTTCCTTTGTTCCCTGCTGTTTTCCAGACCGTTTCTCCAGTGGCAGCACCACGTGAATCCAAACCTGCTCTTCCAACGTGCTGCTGCCCTCTCTGTTGGGACCTTCTGCACACTGAAGTTCTCTCTCTGTTCCCTCCTAACGCTCGGTGAGCACGTTGAGCTCATCCCAAGGCAGACCCCGGTGAAATCCCACTTGATCCATCCTTGCAGTTCAGCAGTGAAAAATGTGCCAATGCAGCTCTTTCCTCACCTTGCAGAGGTTTCTATCCCCTTGGTTTTTTATGGGAATGCCTTGTGAGAGCGTTGGGAATGCTCTGCTGCCATCAGGCTCCGTGTGGCAGCTCTGCCTTTCCCACGTTCAGGAGACCCGTTATTGTCACCCAGAAATTGGGTTCCTTTGGCACATCCCGTTCCCTCCGATCCATTCCACCTCCTGTTTGTCACCTGGATGGTTTATTAAACCTCTCCGCTGTTTGTTAGAGGATTTGCCAGGGAATTAAAGATGAGTTGCTTCGTTTTAGGCTTCCTTTGATCTTTCTGCTGCCTGTTTGTAGAGATGAGCATCATCCTTTGTGCGGCTCTCCGGGAATGCCGAGCGTGCCAGGTGAGCTCTGAGACAGCCATGGCACGAGTCAGGCACTTTCTGCCACCTCAGTGAGTTTCCCCAGGCCCAGAGAGTTGAAACAAACTCTAAATTCTTCCAACTGCTGGGGGTTTTTTTTACTGGAAAGTCAGAGCTTGGCTTTGCTGTTCTGGTGCCACCAGGAGTTGACTGGAGCTGGTTTGTACAGACCTAACCATGATATATTTGAGTTGTTCACTTAGGTCATGGAATTATAGAATGATTTGGGTTGGAAGGGGCCTTAAAGATCATCTAGTCCTGCCCCCCACGGGCAGGGAACCTTCCACTAGACCAGGTTGCTCCAAGCTCTGTCCTAGATCATAGAAACCTGGAATTCTTTGGATTGGAAGGGACCTTAAAGCCCCTTCCATGGGCAGGGACACCTTCCACCAGCCCAGGCTGCTCCAAGCCCCATCCAGCCTGGCCTTGGACACTTCCAGGGATCCAGGGGCAGCCACAACTGCTTGGATTCAGGAATTACAGTGTGAGGTTGTCCCGCTCTCCTTACTCGGACAGGAGGGTTGTGTCACTGGAATGACCTTTCCCAGGCATGGGAATCTGCTTCCAGAGGGCTGCCCTACACCTGGAAAGGAGGATTTTGTTGGAGGGGGAAGAGTTTCACACCTATTGAGGAGCAGCTGCATAACCAGCTCTGCTTTTGGGGCAGGGGATGTGTGAGGTGACACGAATGGGGGGCTCCGTGACACCCTTAAAGTGCTTCCCGGTTCTGTTGGAGTTTCTCCATGTCTGGGTACTTCGTTGCATGAAGTCCCTGGGTTTTCAGATTCCCTGTTTTCCGTGGATAATGTGGAAGCACATCCATAATTACAGCACGAAGTGAAGTATCAGGGAATTGCAGGGAATTCAGGCTCTGTGTCGCTTTGCATTCCATGGATGATGTTTGTATGTCCTCGTATGTAATCCCCGTGTGCATCAGCTTTTGGGATGCCCTTCCCCGGCTCTGGAAAACGCAGGAATATTTCTATATTCCTTGTAGGAGCCGGGTGCTGTCGTGGCGTTGCCGGCAGAACTGGTGGGATTGGGATGCCTGGAAATGCTGCAGGTGGGCGGATGCAGAGGAGGGTCCTGTCCCGGTGCCCGTCGGTCACGGGGAGCACACACGGGAACCTGGTGATCCCTGACCGTCCCTCCGGCACCACCCGCTGCCTCCCCACCCCTGTGCCAGCCCTCCGGGTCCCTGCGGGTGGCCCGGGTGTCCCTGGCAGGTGATCCCTTCCCTCCGGAGGGGCAGGAGGAGCGGGGAGGGGGAGGCGTGTGCCGGCCCCGGTACCGCAGTGTGATTCCCGCTGCTCCGTGCCAGCTCCTGGATACACGTCCCCTCCCTCTGCCCCCTCGCTCTGCCCGTGCCGTGGCAGGGAGGCTCGGGGGGGGATTCGTTCCCACTGCCACGCTCCGGGCAGATCCTTCGCCGCCGGTCCTGGCCCTGCCGGGGATCCTCCCCATCCCCATCGCTCCCATCGCTCTCCAGCACAGTGGGAAGGGGATGCAGCAGCCCCTTCACCCAGGGACGAGCGGGGGGCTTCGCTTCTCCATCTCTTGATGGCTCCCCATCCCTCCCATCGCTCCCCATCACGTTGGGAAGGGGATGCAGCAGCCCCTTCACCCGGGGACGAGCGGGGGGCTTCGCTTCTCCATCTCTTGATCGCTCCCCTTCTCTCCCACCGCTCCCATCTCTCCCATCGCTCCCTCCTCGCCGCTCCCGCTTTGGCTCCTTGTGCCACCTCCCCCCTTTCCCGGCGCTGCCGAGAAGCCGGACCCGGGTCCCTGATTAATTCGGCTCTGATGTCAGACATGCGGCTCTGCTGGGAGGGATTTGCAGGGCTGCGTTTGCTCCGAGCGTCCCCCTCCCGTCCCCCCCTCTCCCGTCCCCCCTTCTCCCGTCCCCCCGTTTGCTCCGAGCGTCCCCCTCCCGTCCCCCCCTCCCCGCGCGCCCCCCGCCCCTCCCGCCGCACGTCGATGGCATTTGGGGAAGGGGCTCCGGTGGGCGCCGGCCCCGCGGAGCTGCCGCTGCTCCACCCGCCGCTGGATCCTCCCGGTTCCTCCCCGCCGGTGCCTTTGTTAAAGTGGGACAAGGAAATGCATCCCCCCTGCTCCTGGCAGACCGTCACTTAGCAACGCGGCGGGGAGGGGGGGGGGATTTTAGGAGAAGATCCGAGCGCCGGGATGAGGATTTAAACTCTGCCGTGCTCAACTCACCAAAGAGGCACCTTCTCCTTTTCGTCGAGCGGCCGATTTTTTTTTTCCGCGTGAGAGGCAACCGGGAAGTCTGAGAGAGCCGATCCCCCGATGCCCCCCCACGCTCCGGGCAGCCTTTAAAGGGGATCCCGAGGGGATCTGTATCCCTGCATTCCTATGCAGGTGACTGCGAGGGGGCCCGGTGGGCAGCAGGGTGATCCAGGCAGCCGGGGCTTTCCTCCTCCTCCTCCTCCTCCTCCTCCACGCTGAGGGAAAGTAGCTTTTCATCTTTTTTCATTCTGACTTTGGGCAAAAGGGAGGGGAGGGGAAGCAGCTTGAGCCCAACTCCCCGCTGAGATGAGACGGTGGATGAGAAGAGGTCTCCTTGTCACAGGCACAAAGGCCACCTCCGCCTGGCAGCATGGTGCTGAAATCTAACCCTGGCATCATTCTCTTGTGCTCTTTCCTGCCCAGTGACTACATCATTGAGGAGAAGACGGCCGTGCTGCAGAAGAGGGAGCATGAGGGATTCGGGTTTGTATTGCGAGGGGCCAAAGGTAAGGGCTGCTTCTTTCGCTGGCTCTGGGGCTGGGGCGGGAAGCGCCTTCTCCTCACCCTGCCCGGGCTCCGGATCCCCAAATTCCCGTGCCCGGCAGCCCTGGGAACCAGGGGCTCTTTAGGGGACTCTCTTCTCCGGCTCTCTCCTTGCCCGGATGCCGCCGTGGCGGGCAGGCATCGCTCACACTTTCCGGGGGGTTCTGGTGCGGATGCTGCTCTTGGTGGCTTTGAGATCCCGGGAACGTTCACTCCTCCTGTTCCCCGGGAGCGTGACCCGGGTGCAGCCCCGTGGCATCCGTGGCGTTTTCGGTTCAAATGCTGGAAGTGTTTCGCTGTACTTTGGCAGGGGGGAGTTGGGGTCCTTTGAGGAGCCCTGGTCGTGCCGGGGTTCCCCAGGGAAAACCGGGAGAGGTGTGTCCCGCAGCTCCCACCGTCCCTTTGATCCCGTGCGGCTCATTCCCGGGGCACCCCGGGGTGCTCCCGTGGCCGGACCTCGGGTGGGTGGTTCCTGTGGCTTCTCCTGCCAGAAATCCATCTTTGTGCTGCAAAAAAAAGAGGCCCTTGGGGACCGGGAATGAATGTGCTCGTATGGATACAGGGAACGGGCTTCAGCTCCCGTGCTCGGGAGGCAGGAACGCCTCCGACCGGAGAGCCCCGTCCCTCCCCGGCACTTCCAGGCTCTTGGAAGCAGAGGGACAGTGGGAGCAGGGGGACAATGGTGCAGCTCTGTCCCTTCCATGTAGGATGTAGCAAGGTGTGGGAGGGAAAGCTGGAAGCAGCTCCCGGGGAGTGCTGCTCCTTCCCCGGACCTCGGTGCGGCTGCGGATTCGGGCTTTGATCTCCGGGGGGGAATTTTGGGGGGATTCCTGGGTCGCCTTTGTTCTGCCCATGGAAGGGCTCGGTGCCGGTGGGTGTGTTTGCATCCCTGCTGGAATATGGTCGCTGTCTCTTCCTCCCTCTCTCTCCCCTTCCCTATGGATGTGACATACGTGTCTGTCCGTGTGTAGCATGAAGTGAAACTTCACGGCTCAAAATGGCATCCATTTTTTTTCCCGGATCAATCTTGACCCTATTGTGTTGGGAAAAATGGATACATTTAGTCCCGTTGCCCATTTCCCCCCCCCCTTTTTTTTTTTTTATTTTTTCCTTCTTTACCCTCCCGACGTTTGCAGGCTCTGCCTCTCCCTTTGTCTGCCGAGGCTGAAGGCAGGACCGGGAGCGGACGAAGTGGGCGTGTGGCTGTGTGGGATTTGGGAATCCTGGCGGTGCTGCAGGGCACCGGGAAGCGCGTGGCTGCAGAGGGTCGTGGCGTGGAAGCCGTCGGAGCGTGGGCACGGTCTGGGAGGCTCCCCAAGCCCCTCAGGGAGCAGCGTTCCCTCCACAGGGAGGTGAATGTGGTGGCTCGGGTCCCCCCCGTGTTTCCCAGCCCCTCATCCCGGTGCTCCGTGGGGTTCGGGCTGGAAGGAGCTCTGGGACTGTCTGCGTGGCCCCGTCGGTGTCACCTCCACTCCATTTAGGGAAAACCGCTTAAGGAATCGTGGTGTGAAGAGGAAAAAGGGGTCTGGAAATGGGGGGATCAGAGGATCATCCCTTGCAGGGGTGGGAGATGGATATTGTGGACTCAGCTGGATGATCCTCAAAGGAATCTGCTCTTCGTGCTGCAGGGAGGGTGTGAAAATCCTTCCTGGCTTCTCTCAGTCCTGCTGAGGGTTCGTTCCTTCCCCAGCCCGAATTTGTCCCTGTGAACACCTCCAGGAAGAGGGCTCAGGCTCTGCACCATCCTGGAGAACCAGCCCTTCCCAGCCCGTCCCATCTCCACCTCTGCCCCGTTCCGGAGGAGGTGACATCCCGGTCAGACCAGCTGAGCCTTTGGACAGAGCTGATTTTATTTCATCCTGGTCTCTGCAGGGGATGAGCTGCAGCACTTGGACCTGGGGCTTCCCTGCAGCCATTGCCTGGGAATGCCCAGAGGAGCTGTGGCTGCCCCTGGATCCCTGGAAGTGTCCCAGGCCAGGCTGGAGCAACCTGGGCTGGTGGAAGGTGTCCCTGCCTGTGGCAGGGGTGGCACTGGATGGGCTTTAAGGTCCCTTCCCACCCAAACCATCCTGGGATTCCATGATTAGGGAATCCTGTGGAGCAAATGGGAGGGGCTGGAGCAGCCCCTTTGCCCCGTGATGAGCCAGAGGATTCACTTCTCCATCCCTTGACCCAGAGAGGTCCCAGCCTGTCACACACTCAAATCAGGGACCTGCTCAAGGTGCTGAAAGGCATTTCTTGGCTTACAACAGGGTCAGGTTGGGGCTGAGGAGGAATTTGTTGCTGGAAAGGGTGGGGAGGCCTTGGCAGGGGCTGCCCAGGGAGGTTTGGAGTGCCCAGCCCTGGAGGTGTCCCAGGAAGGCCTGGCCGTGGCACTCAGTGCTCTGGGCTGGGGGACAAGGTGGGGATGGGGCCCAGGGTGGATCCATGGGCTGGGAGGGCTTTTCCAACCTCAGGGATTCTGGGATTATGAAACTAA